AAATACAATTTTTTCAAAATGTTCACCATTCGAAACAATGAGGTGGCATAAACGAACAATGAAATTTGACATCACGTCTTGCAATGTCTCAACGGAAATGGAATCACATGCAACACCAATCAACGATTCAAGCTCATCTAGAGTAGCGGGATTGTTGTTCGATAGACAGTGTCTTTCAATGCCCCACATGCCCAACAGAAAGAAGTCACAAGGACTCAGATCGGGAGAATATGGAGGCCAAGCTATTCCTGTGTCAGTAAATTGCGGATATCTAACGCAATTACTCTATTTCCAAAGTATTCATGAAGAAAGTGTAAAAAACTTTGTTCGATGTGGAACAAAGTTTTGTTCGATGTGGTCGAGCCCCATCTTGCATGGAACAAATCGATACCTGGTCGATCCTCCAGCGCTAGTTGAGTGCTTACAAATTGTTCCAAAATTGTAACGTAAAGTTCAGTAAATATCGTTTCTCGTAAGAAAAAGGGTCCGGTAATGCCTCTGGCGCATACCGCAGCCCATGCAGTAACTTTAGGCGAATGCAGTGCTTTCTCTTCACACAAATGAGGATTTTAGGTACCCCAAAATCTCCAGTTTTGTTTATTAACGATTCCATTCAAATGAAAATGTGCCTCCTCTGTGAACCAGATGCAGCTCACATCAAATCTGTCTTTTCGATCATTGTTAGAATCTGATTCGCAAAGTCAACCCTTTGTTGCACAGCTTTCATGGGTATGGCCTGATAACTTTGGATTTTGTATGGAAACAGCCGTAGGCTATTTTTAAATAGTTTTTTGTGTGCCCGTGTACTTCAAACCTGTCTCTGATGCAATCCGGCGGATGCTTTTCCTAAGATTTTGCTGAACAAATATAGAAACTTTGGTTGCATTTTCAGGAGTGACTATAGTTTGCTTAGGCCCAACATTTCCCTTTCGATCATCAGCCACGCTGCCAGTCCGTTCAAATTTCGCGAAGAGGATGCGAATGGTTTTCTCATCGGGTCCAACTAGAACATTGAATCGATTTTGAAAACTGCGACGTGTTGCCGTAGGACTGGGTTCTAATTGGTGAAATTCCAGAACCAAAAAACACGTTGTTCAATGGAATACATTATTTCACTTTCTACGCAAGCCATTTTTCACTAGCCAAGAGTCGTACTGATCCTTTTCGAATTCAAAGCACATTTTTAAAGGCTATTGACAGGTCATTGCGATTAAAGCGCCATCTGTTAACGATTTTCGTAACTAAATTTTCTAAACTTTTATACACCATTTTTACAGTTTTGCTAATAAACGTACAGTTTACCGCATAATTCTACCGATCTTTGTTGTAGAGATATTTAATTTTGAAATCAGGGCTTATTCGCTGATCACCCTGTATATATAAAAGTAGAAAGATAACATGAACAAGAGAGACCTTAGTGGGATAGTTACACTATTTTTACATTTAATAGGTTTTAAAATTATTTGATCAAGTTATTTACGCTTGATTTTATTTTAAATTAATTTTTCTATAAAAATTACATATAGCGATACTTATTTACACTCTAGTCTTTTAATCTTCCTGTACGATAGATGCTACAAACGCACAGGATGCTTTAAAATTCTAAAAATGATAAGGTAGTAAATTAAATTTCTTTAAGGCTATCCTCATTGATCCAAATCTGTTAGTTTGAGTTAACGATTTGAATTATACTGAAGTGCGAACGAATTAGGGATACTAAGTGAAGAACGTGTTGGGCCTCTTCTAGCTTTTATAACGGCTGCCACACGACGAGGCATGATTCAGCAAGTTTGCGTAAGGTTATACGAAAATGGCTTTCAAACATCAGAAAGAGCTGTCGCTGTTTTAGGAAGGGTCACTAGTGTTGCATGATATGCTTTCACACCTTTCTCCAAAACATCCTAAAGGTGCTTAATAGGATTTAAGCAAGGGTTTCTAGATGGCCAATTTAGGACAGAGAAGTCAGAGGAATGATCATCCAACCAAGACCTCTGAGAGGTGTAGTTAGTTATCTTGCTAGAATACTCCATTTCCGTTGATTGACAGAACGAAATAAATAGATTTAGGTGATCGCCCAGCAAATCTACCTACCGCATAGCATTGAAGGAAGTTGGTACAAGTACTAAAGATCTCAAACACTGCCAAGAGAAAATACCCCAGACTATGATCGAGCCATGACCTTATACAGTTCCCACCTGGTACGCAGAATCCATGGCTTCATGAGCCTGACGCAATATTCTCAGCCTCCCGTCAGCGTTAAGCAGACGGAATCGAAGAAATTCATCACTCTGTGCTACTCGTTTCCAGTCCGCTAGATTTCATTCTCTGTGTTCTTCTGACCAGGCAAGACGTGCAGCCTGATGGCGTGCATTGAGCAATGATACTCTGGTGGGAACTGGAGAACTGATTCAGCTTGGGTGTTGAGCTAATATTTGGCTTCGCCGGCTACGTACAATACGGCCGAGTCATCTCACACCAGGCTTGTTCAAGGCTAATTGTCCTTTGCAGTTTGCCCAATCGCTAGTTTTTTTTCTCCCAACAATCCGTGAATTCTCGGTATACTCTTGACACTGTCGACTTTGAAAATACTAACTCTCTGACGATTTCGGTAACTGAATGACCCATGCGTCAAGCGCCTACTATTTGTCCACGATCGAAGGCTTCTGGAAATCAGAAGTTTTAGCCATACTGGCAACTGAAATAACTGATTAACAACAACCACAGCACTAGCTATATATGCAGTTACCACATCACATGACCATAAATGCGGGGTGGCGCTACTATTTTAATCAGTTACTGTTTTCTCTAATTTTTCCTTCTCTTTCGTTTAGTCTTTTATTTAGTAGCCCAAAAGGGGCTTATTATGGGATTTTGCATTGGTTCCCTATAAACGGCGTTTCAAATTGTAGTCACCAAATATTACTACCCTGTATTATATTTTAAAAAATTGAATAATGAGGAAACCGCATGTATATATGTATGTTCTTCGAATTGTGAAAAAATGGCAGTACCTAGAGCCATCGAATTTTGAATAACGTAATGCTCCAATGCACCTGCCGTAACGCAGTTCTTCACCTGAACATGAGGCAACTGGAAGCCCGAAATTTTAATCTCATATTAATTTTATTATTTATTTCATATTTTCTATTAACAGATTCAACGATCTGAAAGCAAGCAGTGGCAACACTGCTTGGAATGAAATATTTTTACCTCCAACGCGCGATATTTGCCATTCGGAAAAATATAAGATATTTATCTTTCAATTTTAATTAATGAACTTGACTCTATGAAATTAATGTGTTGCCGCGGCCGGAAATAAAATACTTTTATCCTCCACTCGCCAGCGTGTTGCCATTCAGTAAACCTTAAATACTTTCAAATTTAATCTGGGAGGCTACTGAGTAAACGATTTAAAAGCAATAAACTGAATTCTTAAGAATATTTTTTCTACTCTTTAGTATAATTTATTTAAATAAACATGTATTAAAATCATGAGATGTCTAATTAGAAATATTCAATATTTTTATGTAATTACACTAACTGGACTCATTAAAATCATTATGTACTTCTTTTTTATGATAACTATTTTAGCCGGCTGGCTGCGCAAGCAACTAGTTTTTAAAGAAATAATATAGCGAATAAAAAATATGTATGGCAGCCTCTAGCACTATCAGGAACTCGAAAGATATGTTGTTTTTAAATATTTTGGGATTTTGCTGTTGAATTGAATTTTATGTGGCGTGAGTGATATTTAGTAAATAAGTTAATACATAAATAGTTAAAATTGTTAGCCATCTTACTAAAAAAACTGAATATTGATATGATGAACTGAGAAAAGACTCTCATAATATAGAATTGTATGCCAACCCTAAGCACTGCATTGGGAATTCTAAACATATGCAACTTTTAGTGATTCTGTTGTTGAACTGTATATAGTGCAGGTGGGAAGAAAATGGTGTTTAATAATAAAGTTTAAAAAAAAAAAAAAGAGTTAGCAGGAATGAGTGCAAGAACAGACTGGTGGACTGCGAGCGTAAAAAACCTTAAAAATCACTTTTAGGGACTGTTAAAATTCGAAACCTATCAGATTCTTTTTAATTAAATTAAATTTTGTTTTCTTTTGTTCTCCCTCTGGACCCCCACTTCCGGTTAATTTAAACGGTAAAATTTCAGCAGTATATCTCAGAATAATTTGCTTCTCAAAACAAAAGGATTGCTCTCCAAATGCGTGGAATTTTTCTGCAAAACTAGTCTATTATCAGTTTAGAATTTATCACAGGGCCAATTTATGGAATTTTACTTAAATTCCCTCCACAGACAGAATTAACTAAAAGCTGGGGAGTATGGGGTACATTTTTAACACTTTACGTGGAATTTTATCCATTTATTAGAAAAAAAAAAAAAAAAACGGGAGTACTTAGAGACATTTATATGCAAAACGACTGTCGCAAATTTTAATTATTTAAGAAATTTTACTGTATAAAAATACGAATTCTGCTTAATTTATTAAAAAATATAGCAAATAAGAAATTGCCCGGTTTTCCCTACTTTTAAACTACATCAGAACGTTTGCGTTCATCCCTACTCGCATTTATCACCGCGCGCTCCGACGGAAGACGAAGATGTTCCTAACTAAAACAAACCTGTTTCCCCGCGGCTCCACACGCTAATAAGTATGTGACCTACTAGCACTCCTCTTTCGGCCTTGACCAAGCTATATTCCGATTGCTCTGTCAACCAATGCAGACGCAGCGAAGGAAAGTTTGTCATCAGCAGCTTGCTGCTTAAAATATTCCCTTCGTCCCTTTCACCGATTAGTTGCTTACTAGCTTCCATCAGTGTCGGAACACGCAAGGCTCCGGAAAATACCAGGTAAAATTCCATCCTGTATTTTACTTGCGGTTTAAAGCAGCAATGTCACATTTCATTCCAATATTATTCACTAGATGGCGCTTCTCCCATTCATGTGGATGTGTACTATCTACGTATTCGAGAAAACATGCTTTTTGGCGTAGTAGGGTAATAAGACTGATGTGTCCAACCGGAGATGTTTAGAGTTTTAAAACACGTAATTGATAACGGAAGTAATCACAAGTTGAAAACTAATAATTTTACACTCAAATTTTTAAATAATGCGATAAGACTTTTATCTGATAGTGAGTAAAAATTGTATGACGTGTTTCTCTAACTGCATTATTTCATTAAATTTATAACTTTTTATTTGTAATTTTTTTATTCAGAATGATATAATATATTCTTTTGCAAGTTCACTTGTGAGACTGAGTGCTCTTTAGTTTTGAATCAACTATTATTGTTATTGTATTCTTATTAGCAGTTGTGTTATATATTCTTAAAAAACGTTAACAAATACTTTTGTGAGACTGTTAAAATTTGAAACCTATCAGATTTTTTTTTTTAATTAAATTAAATTTTGTTCTCTCTCTGGACCGCTCTTCCGGTTAGTTTAAGCAGTAAAATTTCAGCAATATATCTCAGAATAATTTGCTTCTCAAAACAGAAATCACTTTCCAAATGCATGGAATTTTTCTTGTTATATATATTTATTATGGTTAATTATTATTATGTATATTTATTATATTATTATTAACAGGTGATACAAAAAATTAAATTTTAGGTTCACTTTTTTTAGTAAATTAATTAGATAAATTTTAAGGGAAAAAATGGATAATTAGAGCGTTAAATGTGTTAAAAGTAAAATTTAGTTTTTATCTTCTCAATTACATATATAGTTTCCACATGCAAGGGGAATCTGATGTCCTTAAGAAATTTTTCCTTGATATGTAATATTGAATGGTCCCTTCTTCAAAGCTAGAAATTGTGTATTTTAGAGCTATAAAAACAGTTAAATTGTAAGCTAGAAATGTATATTTAATTTAAGTGATAAATAATTGCTGTCTTTCATATGTAGTCAGTTTCTGCTCCTGTCCTCTTCTTCCCTCCCATAATGTGATAGAGTGGTTAAACTGCATGCTGTGGCTTTACCGCTACTAGGAGAGAACACTCACTATATATTTAATTTAAGGCTAGATAATATTTATTTTTAAACTTATTTCAAAATTCACTGTGACATTACTAAGGCTGTTCGTACATTTTTTAGACTATTTTCATTGTATTTACAGAAATATTTTACTTCAAATTTTTGTGTTTTAAATCTTTTTTTATATAACCCTTATTCTTCACTATCTTTCTGTATTGTAATTTCCAAGACACTAAAGCTTTTTTTAGTAGTGGAAGAGGTATTTTATTCCATTCCTCTTGAACAGGTTTCCAAAGTCCAAGGTGGGTTGTAGGTTGGCATCTGGACAATCTGCTGTTTAAAAGTCCAGAAGTGTAAAAATCCGTGGATGATACATCAGGAGATTTAGTAGAGATATGAATGAAGGCTATGGCCTTGATAGACGTTTCTTGTTCCATTTTTTTTTCCAGAAAATTAACAGTAGATTTTGACGTGCAGCTGCTTGCTTTGTCTTGATGCAGTTCTATCCATTGGTGGCACTGTGGGTAAAGAGAAAGTATTTCTTATTTGAAAAAAAATATGTTCTTGATAATATGTGGGACTGACTGTAACAGCTTTCTGCACTCTCTTTAATTTTAATTTGTCATTATATCAAAACCCTCAACAATCATAAATCCCTTTGAAAAACTTTCCTTAGATTCTTTGAACCATGTTCTAAGAATTTTTCTTCTCTTTGATGGTGATAAATGGATTTCATTTAATTGCAGTCATTTAAATATACCTAAGATTCATCTGTTGTGACATTCTTCCGAATAATTGTTTCTCATAGAGAATGCTTCTTTTGGCGATATGTGATGGGAAAAAATGATGCACATTACCCCGCCCCCCCTTTTTTCCCCTTTCTTTTAAGATTCAAATGAGCACTAATCATTTTATTTGCAGTTGGCACTGAGTATTTTATTGATTATGTGACTGTCCTTTTAAACTTCAAAGATTTCCTTTTAACATTAAAGGTCTTACTTTTGCAACATTCAAAACATTCCATTTTTTTCCTTTAATAATTTTTCTCCTTGAAGCTAAACTTTGGCATGTTTTTCCTTTCTTATTGACAATATTATCTATCGTTACTTTAAATACCGAAAAATCACAGCATTTATTAATAATGAAATACAAATGATTTTCAGCGAAAAGAGCACAAACATAGCCTTCCATGTATTTCTTCTTTAAAAGCACCATTTTGCCTGCAAACAGAATTGTCAAACAGCAGACGATAATTTATACTTTCAAAAATATAGTTGTATATATATATATATGTTGTATGATCTTAAATTCATTTAGTGCGAAAACAAGTTACTACTACTTGCGCAATTGCTGCAAAGTAAGTTAATAATTTATTTACTAAATTATGTTGATTAATTGATTATATTATCTCCTAAGTTTAATGATAGTAGGATTATCTTAAAAGAGTAAATCCATACTAGTAACTTATATTTTGAAAGATGTGTTGAAGTAACTTGAAAGTAAAATGTTTTAACGAGGACTGAAATTAAATCATGAATAACAAAATTTCAATTGTAAAAGGAATAAATTAAAGGCAAGAATTAAATTAAATGCATGTAATCATTGTCGTTGATTAGAAATTAGTTGACTTTTCAAGGGGGACAAACCAACTCCTGTTTACTACGTTCTTTCTAGTGGGGAGTGAGCAAAGTGTTCTCTTCGTGTCTGACTCAGAAGTGTAGTGTTTCTGAGTCAGACACAAAGAGAACACTTTGCTCACTCCCCACTAGAAAGAACGTAAGTTAATTAATACTTTTTCTGGCCTTTATATCTTCATGTACATTCACTTTTCTTATTATATTTTTTTATTTTTATATTATTTTTTATTTGTTTTTACAAAGTTATATTTTTTTATTTTTTATTTGTTTTTACAAAGTTTGCATTATTTATCTTATATTTTGTAATTTTCTAATGTTTATTTCAACTACTTTGAATTCTATTTCATAATGACAATTTCCAATGTTTAATTTTTACAAATAATATTGAACTCAAATGCATAACACGAGGGTGTTGGGAAGCGGTTACTTGAGCATTATCGAAATTTACTGCAGAAATTGCTTTTCACTCAAAATAGAATTGGCTAAAATGCTTAATAGGAATAAGTTCTTTGATTATCAGCATTGGTTCATAATCCCTTCTATTCACGGAAATATTTGGCCTGACTTGAATTGCCAGTTTGGCTTAGCCTTATTGCTTGAGTAAAGACGAAACACCTTCATATTTATTTATAAATTATTGTTCATTGAATGGGAGTTGGTTTGTTCCCCAAGTCAACTAATTTCCGATCAACGACAATGATTACATGCATTTAATTTATTCCTTTTACAATTGAAATTTTGTTATTCATGATTTAATTTCAGTCCCCGTTAAAACATTTTACTTTCAAGTTACTTTAACACATCTTTCAAAATATAACTTGCTAGTATGGATTTACTCTTTTAAGATAATCCTACTATTATTAAACTTAGGAGATAAACTAATCAATTAATCAATATAATTTAGTAAATAAATTATAATTATATATATCTATATATCGCAAAGCAGCCTAAAAAATGTGCGGACAGTCCTTGTGTCTTCAGCCAGAATGTTGAAGCATGACTGAAAATTAAACCAAGATGCTTTTAAAGGACATAATTCAACAGATTTTTAATTTTTGAGCTTTCTTGGAAAATATATTAAAAATGATAGATCTTATTCTTCTTAAATGGGCATTTGCAAAAAATATAAAAATAGAAGGATAAGACACTTTAAAGCTACATAATAAAAAAAACGCCTGTTTAGTAACTTATGATTTTGAGATTTTTTTTTTTTTTTTTTTTTGAATGATAGTAACAGAATAAGTGCTTAAATTAAAGATGAATTTAGTAACTTGGTTTGTGTAATTAGAATCTGAAAATGAAAAAATTTCACTGTTATATTGGTGCTAGTTTAGTTTTTCACACTCTGAGCAATCTAGAAAAGTTCTTTATAAATCAGTGAATAAAAGTACCTGCAATGCTTTATAAAAGGGAAGTAATAATATTTTAAGTCGTCTGAGGAATTATAAAAGTGTCTTTGGAAAACAGAAGCTGCTAGTTAGAGATTTTGATGTCATCTGCTAGCACAAATAGGTAAAATGCTATACAATTTTTTCATTCCAAGTAAAAGAAGAAAAAGTAAGTAGAGCTGTTCTTGGATATTTTCTGTTATTCAAAATAATGTATAAGTTACTGTTCAAAAGTTTGTGTGAATACCATAAAAATGAAACTCTGATTTTTCAGTTTGTTCTGCAATCAAAAAGCAAAGTCACATAAGCGTAATAGTAAAAGGAAGTCCCTTCCCCTTAAAAGAATATAATGCACATTGAAAAATTGAATTCAGGTAACTACATTTTAAAATTATTATACATCCAAGAAGAATTGTAGATGGTTTGGTTTTTATGAAAGTTTTAAGTAGATAACCATCATGTGCTTTGTTGTAATACACTGGTGAAAAATTATTGAGAACGGATCACAAATGGCTATATAGTGCATAAAAAAGTAAGTGTGGTTGGATGGCAAGTGAAATAAAATAATGCCAAAATACTAGGACATAACAATAAAGATAATTTATTATTCTCAGAAACCCAGGCTGCTATGGACATTTTGTACTGAATATGTGAAAGTGAAAAAAATGCAGTTACTATCCACAGGATCTCTTGTGTAAGATGTCAGTATGCGCTATGATCACTATGAAGTGTGATGCAAGATTCCAAACATCGTGTCATGCTTTGAAAAATATTATCCTGTATCTGTTGGGCTAATTTATCACATCTCTCTGTCAGTGCATGGATGAGGGTGTCCTTGTTTATTGGAGAGGGCATTGTGGACCAGCAAGAATCCCCCAAAGCATTCCAAACCTTTTCAATGGGCTTCAGATCTGGAGAATGTTCTGGCCATACGAGGAGCTGAATATCCTCATTTTCTAGACACACCTTGACAGCGATTGTTTGGTGATATGTTGCATTGTCGTCCATGAAAAAAATTTATCACCAACAGTACCATGGAACATTCAAGCATGAGGCAGCAAAAGATCATTAATATATCATTGACAGTCATAGTCCCAGCTAGAACTACTCAACATCTATTTTAAAAGCATTAT